TTTGTCCTTCCATGTTGACCAAAAATAGAATGGGCACTGGCCAGCCACCATTTCTGTGCAAAGCGTAAGCGTTGGTGATTTCTGTGCGAGCAAAATGGGGAGGATTGGTTTGCTTGTATCAGATTTCACAATCTCATTCATGTGGCTTTGGTCAGGGGTCTTGATTAAGATGTATCTGGGGTTTGGGCCATGAACCCACCGGTGAGATTATCAAATCCACTTTGTCAATTGTAAACATGTTCTTCTTTGCCTTGTTGGGAAACTTCAAAAACTGGGGATTTCACCCAATTCCATTTCACTGTTGCTGCATGACTTCATTTGGGTAGAGAAGAAAACAAAGAGGAAGAGGAAGAACTGGGTTTCTCAGAGAGAGAGAGAGAGAGAGAACACAAAGAAAAGTGTTATGTGGGCAATAAGTGGACAATAAAAATGTATTTATAGGTGGTAGTTTTAAAAATTTTGGGGAGGTGTGGTATTTTGACAAAAAAAATTATAAAATGGGTGGCACTGAGGGCCATTTCCCTTTTTTTTTTGGGTCAAGGGTTCTCGTTCTTGTTGCTATAGCATCATCAACCACTTCTACATTATCCCTCTCTCTCTCTCTCTCTCTCTCTCTCTCTCTCTCTCTCTCTCTCTCTCTCTCTCTCTCTCTCTCTCTCTCATCTTTTACTTTGAGTTCTGCAGTCTGCAGCCATGGCGCCAAGTACTTAACATCTATTGCTGATCCTTTTTTTCTGGTATGAAAACTCTACTCTGTTCTGTATATATTTTATTTGTCTTTTTTTGTCTCTCTAAGGTATAGATGAAGACTTTGGAAAATTAAATGAAATTACTTAATTTAACTAAAAAAGTCTGTCCTGTTTAATTATACAATATAACTTGTTGTTTGTTTGTTTGTTTGTTGCACCCATTGATGGAAAAAAGACAGAAAAATGGAAACTGAACATTTGATCAGTCACAAGCATCCACTGATGTTCAAGGAAGAGCAGAAAGAAAAACATGGTGGGCTGGCTTTTTGCTCAGGGTGTGCAGAACCTGTGATTGGCCCTAGCTACTGCTGCACCAAATACCCGGAATGCGATTATGCGACTTCATTGTCCATAAATCATGTGCCGAGCTACCTGGTAAGATTAAGCACCCTATACACACCAAACACCCGCTTGTTCTTCTCACCATGGGAGATTACAGATGTTTTGCTTGTTTCCTGCATTACAAAGACGGCTTGGCCTACAATTGTTCCCTGTGTAACTTCAACCTTGACCTTAAATGTGCTTCCAATTGGAGCAACATTTTGGAAAATGACTGCCATGATCATGAATTCACTGTCCTTGCGAAACAAATGCAGCTCTGCTGCGATGCTTGTGGCCAAGGTGGGGATGGAGTCTCCTACCTCTGTAGCGTCTGCCAGCTTTTGGTTCATAAGGAATGCATTTCATTGCCACGTCACATCAGAATAACTCTACACCAACACCCTCTCAAGCTTACAATTTTCCGAGAAGCCATTGTCAACGACAATGATCAAGTTTGTAAAGTTTGCTGCACAACCATGACCAGCAATGGCCTTCTTTATTACTGTCAGTGTTGCAATTACATTGCTCACGCTAGTTGCGCCACACATAAGGACTTCCGGGATGAAACGACTTTGTTGGAAGAGGAAAATCATGATCCCACACACATAACCATCAAGACAGTTGATGATGAGTCCAAAAGTCTCATACTAGGTGATGCTAAGGAGATGAACATGGAGGTGGACTAGATAGAATTAGAATTAGGAGCTGCACAGATCAAGCACTTTAGTCATGATCATTTCTTAGTCCTCATTGATGAGGTTCAAGATCATGATGATACAATTACTTGTGATGGTTGCATGCTACCCATCACCATCACTGAAGCCTTTTATAGCTTTACAGAACAAGAAGAATGCCATTTCTTTTTGCACAAAAGCTGTGCTCATTTGCCTAGAAAGATTGTTAACGCAGCTTTCCTTTCCTAGCCTAAACGGCCACTCATCAAGGGAGAAGAATCAGGATCTGATTCTTCTCACACCTAACCATTGACTTGCTCACCAAACATTTTGTATTTACTATTATTTAAAGCTATTACCATTTATATCTCCATTGTACTAATATAAATATTGTAACCTTTCCCATATATCAATACACAAGATTCTATCCTTCTACAAAGATGCTTCACCCATTTCACCCATACCAGCTCACACTCCTTGCTCTGGCTCCTTCTATTGACGGTGTGTTCTGGTGTTTTATGTGCAGGACATTGTGCCAAGGATTTGCATACTATTGTAAAAGATATGACTTGCTGTTTGACCTTCAATGCATTTCTCTTTTGAACCTTCTTACTCACGAGGCTCATGAACATAATCCTCTCATCTTCAACAGAGTTTCCACGTTCTTGTGCAGGGGTTGCGGTATTTCTAGAGATAATACTGCCTGCTTCAGCTGCTTCAGATGTACAATATTTCAGTGTAACTTGCACCTATGTATTCAATGTGTTAAACTACCTCTTACCACCAAACACAGATACGACAGCCATCCTTTCAAGCTCACCTATCATAATGTTGAAGACGAGGAAGGTGAATCTTATTGTCAAATATGTGAAGGAAAACGAAATCCAAAAGATTGGTTCTACTACTGCAAAAAATGTGACTTCGACTACCATCCTGATTGCGTTTTAGGGAGGTATCCTCAAGTCAAGTTAGGGGGCCGTTACAACTTACAAGCATGATGCTCACCCACACCTTGTCACCCTAGTTGATAAAAGAAAGAGCGTCATTTGTTTTGATAAGAGAGAGAACATTCTTCCTTGTGAGGCATGTGGCAAACCTTGTGAAGGATTGGTCTTTGAATGTTCTGGCTGTAATGTAGACATCCACCAGTCAGAATTAAACTGTGTAAGTAAATTCTTCCCAAACTACTCTTGCCCATAATTGGCCTATAATTTTTCATGTTATTTTTGTTTGATATGCTGTTTTGAGTTTAAGGATTTAGTGCACATAGAAACCTATTTGAACCATTAAAAACCTTCCAATCACCTCTCTCATAATAGGTTTCATTTCAATTAGAGAGGTGATCAATGAGCTGTCGTCATTTGTTGAAAAAAAATAAAAAACCATATGTTAGGTGTTTTCTATAAAAGTAAAAATTTGCCAGGGCCTTATTTTTTCGTGTACTGAAATTAATTACTGATTGTTGACAGAGAGGAAGAGAAATAGAGCTTGAACATTTCAGTCACAAGAATCCATTGATGTTCAAGGACAAGCAGATAAATACTGATAGTGGACTAGTTTTCTGCGATGGGTGTGCAAACCCAATGCTCTACAGTTCCAACCAATATCCTCACGGCGGCTTCACTCTCCATAAATCATGTGCGGAGACACCCAGTGAGATGCAACACCCTCTGCACCCTATGCACCCACTTGGTCTCCTCACCATTGGAGATTACACTTGTGTTGTGTGTGACCAACACTACAAAGACCGCTTGGCTTACAATTGTTCCCAATGTGACTTCAACCTTGACCTCAAATGTGCTTCCAATTGGCACAACAGTGGAAATTATGACTGCCATAAGCACAAATTCACCGTCCTTCTGAAGTGGCGAATGAAATTTACGTGTGATGCCTGTGGCCAAGATGGACATGGCATTGCTTATCTCTGTAGCAACTGTCAGCTGTTGGTCCATAAGAGATGCACTTTATTACCACGCCGCATCAAAATAACTGCACACCAACACCCTCTCATGCTTAGATGGTCCTTTGAAGCAAGCTTTCAACTTGATGACCAATTATAAAGTCTGCCACAAGCCTTTCGTCCCAAGGAAGAAAATTTGTGGTGTTTATTATTGTGAGCATTGAAATTACGTTGCCCACAATACATGTGTGATAAAGGAGGATGTCCTAGATGAAACAACTGCGATGGAACAAGAAAATCAAAATCTCTATGCCGCAACGATCGAGACCATTGATCATGACTCCAAAAATATGATACTAATTGCTGAGCCGGCCCATAAGTTGAACTTGGAGCAGAACCAACTAGAATTAGGTGCGCAGATCAAGCACTTCAGTCATGATCAACATTTCTTATCCCTGACTGATCATCATGAGGCAGTTAAAGATATTTCTGATAGAATAACTACTTGTCACTGCTGCATTCGACCAATCACTGTCGCTGATGCCTTTTATAGCTGCACAGAACAACAGTCATGCCATTTCTTTCTCCACAAAACCTGTGCTCAATTGCCCACACAGAGACTTCACCCATTTCATCCACACCCACTCAAACTTCTCTCAAGGGCACCTAAGGTATGCTCTACTGGCGGCGTGTTTGAGTGTGATTTCTGCAGAAGTTTTAGCCAAGGTTTCCTCTACAGTTGTGAAAGATGTGACTTCTACCTTGACCTGCAATGCAGTTTCCTTTCGGACTCTTTTACACATCAGCCTCATGAACACCCTCTTGTTGTCAACACAGCGAATATCATGAGGAGAAACTCCAACAGCAAGCATCTCATACCGAAGAAGCCACCCCCCGGGATATTAAAGTATCTACACAAGCAGCTCAAGCCCCCATCAAGTTCCAAGGACTTCTGTAGGGGTTGTGGTTTTTCTAGTCCACTAGCTGCCTACTTCAGTTGTATGAAATGCAACTTTCATATCTGTATTCCTTGCATTAAACTACCTCCTACCGCAAGCCATAGATACGAAAATCATCCTCTCAAGCTCACTTATCGCAGTGTTCAAAGCAGCCTAGGTGATCATTACTGTGCAATATGCGAAGGAAAACGAGATCCATCACATTTGTTCTACTACTGTGAAGAATGTGATTTCGACTGCCATCCTCATTGCATTTTGGGGAGGTATTCTCAAGTCAAATTAGGGAGCACTTATAAGCATAGTGCTCACCCCCACATCCTCACTCTTGTTGATACGTGTCATTCCTTTTGATAAGAGAGATAAAATTCTTCCTTGTGAGGAATGTGGTAAACCTTGCAAAGGATTGGCCCTTGAATGCTCCGAGTGTAACATAAATTTCCACCAAGAAGAGTACTGTAGTGTTGACGACTGGAATGAAGTACGGAAATCCAAGTACCGAAAAATATTTCAGCTCCTCGGTTTGTAAAACCAACAGAGGAATTCATGTAGTCAGCTCGCCAAAGTCCTCCCGGGAAGTACTAATTTCTATGCAAGTGAGTCCTTTGTGCATGTCTGCTCTGTGGTGCGAATCTTGACATTTTGTTTTTATTTGCTGACATCGGTCTTGGAGTGGCCCCCATATTTTATCACTCCTCTATTATATTAGCCACTAGCCACAACATGCCAATACAAACTACCACAAAGGGCCATTACAATAACAAAGTGACCATCAAATTTAAGACAATTTGGTGCACCTCCATTAACGATCATGCAAGATCGAATAAACTCTATCTAGCATAGGCATCCCCAACTAAGATTGCAAACTCAGAATAATAAAACAGAGATAAAGCTTGAAAAAACCAAGTCATAACTAATGACTAAAATATCGATAATATCGCCCCATATTATCGTTTTTTTGAGTCTATGATATTTTGGAACATATCCATACACATATCATATAATTATCCATAATACTGACGATAATATCAGGAAATATCGATGTCAATAATTTCTCACATGCTTCAACAACATTTGACCATATCACTATAATATCGAAAATATCGAGATGATGAAGATAGTGAAAACTTTGAATAGTTATTTACACTAAGACCCCCTCTCAGGTTTCTTGTGTTTCCACAAAACCCCCTTAGGTCTAAAAAATTACACGAACACCTCATGAGGTTTAACTTTGTTTTCACAAAACCCCTTTTCGTTGATTGTTTGTCTAAAAATTGAAGATTTCTTTTGAAAAAAAAAAAAATTATGCAAATGACAAAATTAACCTTAATGAAGTATATGCAATTTAATCACAAAGGCCAACTTTGTCATTTGGAGACTTTTTTTTGTATAAAATCATCAATCTTTGGATGAAAAATCAATGAAAATGAGTTTTATGAAAACAATTTAAAACATTAGGGAGTGTTCGTGTAATTTCTAAAACCTCAAGGAGTTTTGTGAATAAACTGAAAACTTTAGAGGGGTGTTGGTGTAAATAACTCAAATTTGAACCTTATAGAAACTCTATGTAGTACTAAGTCACTCATGTATTTTACCATGCAATGTGTGTAAAATATTGTAGTAAATCATTATAAATAAATGATTATGGTGTGTTTAATCTTCTTTCATTAATTACTACATATTTTCTACACCCGCAATGTTTGTCAGCTCGCTATATAATCAAATTAAATTAGTTAAACCCATCATGTAATGCATTTTCTTCCAATTTTTTTGTGAGAAAATAATAGATAATTGACTAAATAAATAGCCTCCAAAGTTTCAATAAAAAATTTCAATTTTTTCTCACATTTTTTGTGGTTTTTATTCAATTTTTATCGATATCGATAATTTCTCGATATTTCCATATAAATTTCCGTGTGTTTTAACCACCGATATTTTCGAAACCATCGCTATTTTAGACCTTGGTAGTGACTAGTGAGACCATGAGGGTGGGGAGCAAAAATATCATTTTTAGTTGAATTTTTTTTTTATACTGTTTTTCTTCTCATAGATTGGTGGTGAGCATACACCTTAGATTAAAGTGGTGATAAAAAAATATTTCCGTAAAAAAATATCGATGGTTTCTGAAATATTGGTGGTTCAAAAATACAGAAATTCTGATGGAAATATTAAGAAATTATCCATATCGATAAAAATTGAATAAAAACCACGAAAAGTGTAAGAAAAACTTGGAAATTTTTCTTGAAACTTTGGAGGATGTTTATTTAGTCAATTATATGTTACTTTCTCACAAAAAATTGGAAGGAAATGCATTACATGATGGGTTTAACTTATTTAAGTTGATTATATAGCAAGCCGATAAACACTACGAGTGTAGAGAATATGTAGTAATTAATGAAAGAAAATAAAACACACCATAATCATTTATTTATAAAGATTTACTACAATAGTTTACACTTTATACATTGCATAGTAAGATACATGAGTGACTTAGTACCACATAGAATTCCTATAACACCCCATGAGGTTTTCAACTTTTTCACAAAACTCCTTGAGGTTTTAGAAATTACAAGAACACCGCCTGATGTTTGAAATTGTTTTCACAAAACTCATTTTCATTGATTTTTCATCCAAAGATTGATGATTTTATATATATAAAAAATCTCCAAATGACAAAGTTGGCCTTTGAGATTAAATTGCATGTACTTTATTGAGGTTAATTTTGTCATTTACATAAGTTTTTTTTTTCAATGAAATCATCAATTTCTGGGCAAACAATCAACGAAAAGGGTTTTGCGAAAACAAACTAAAACCTTAGAGGGTGTTCATGTAATTTTTGAGACTTAAGGAGGTTTTGTGAAAACACAAGAAACCTGAGAGGGGTGTTGGTGTAAATAACTCTTTAAATTTTTCATTGTGTTCATCATCTCGATATTATCGATATTATAGCGATATTTTGGCCAAATGTTGCTGAAGTGTGAGAGAAATTGGGATATTATAGCCAAATGTTGCTGAAGTGTGCGATATTTTGGTTTCAATGTTTCTCTTCTCATATTCTTCAATTGGGATTCACCGCCTCTAAGTCCGATTCTTCTACATTCATGGTTTTGTTCACATTTATTTGTTGATTTACGTCACGTCGATGATATCCTTGTCACTGGCTCCAATCTCGCTCCCATCTCCACACTTATTTCTGATTTGGGTCGTCAATTTTCTATGAAGGATCTTAGGCCCAGTCATTATTTTTTGGGCATGGAGCTTGCTCGTACTTCATCCAGTCTATCTCTTACTCATACTAAATATGTTGTGGATCTCCTCAAGCATGCTAACATGCATGAAGCCAAACCCGGGCCTACACTGGCTATCAGTGGACGTCGTCTTACCATGTCTGATGGCAATCCTCTCTCTGATCGCACTGAGTACCATATTATTATTGGTGCTCTTCAGTATTTAACCCTTACTCACCTGGACATTACCTTTGCTATTAATCAAGTTTGTCAATTTATGCCTTAACCCACTACTGTTCATTGGCTCGATGTTAAGTGCATTCTTCGTTAACTCAATGGCACGCTTACTGATCGGTTACTTTATTCGCCAAGCACTCTTCATCTTAGTGCCTATTCTTATGCCGATTATGGCGGGGATCCCGACGATCGTCATTCCACTAGTGGCTATTGCGTTTATTTGGGTATTAACTTAATTTCTTGAAGCTTCGTAGTACCGTCAGCTTGCCTACACTGCCGCCACTCTACCTTGGTTACAAGCTTTATTTCTTGATCTTCATCTTCCAGTTCCTTGCCTTACTTCAGTCAATCTGCCTGTGTTCCCTCACCCCGTCAACTTGCGGGTGGTGTAATGAGACTTGATCCTTAAAGGATTTAGTTTCCTGTCTATTTGTATTTATTTCCTAGATTTGTTTTATATATTCCTTGTCTCTCAAGGACTTGATTCTTGCCTAGGAAATCCTTTGTGTAGACACCAAGCAAATCATTGTAAATAATTATCACATGGATCCCAATTCTCTACATTTAGCATCGGTGCATTTATATGCATTTAAGACAATCTTAACAATTTAATTGAGCCAATGGAAATGAATTATTCCACCTCATCATAATTGTATTGTATTAAAACTCCCCTTTTGCACTGTATCAGTTATCCATCTCTTCCTTTCTTCTGCGGCCTTTCCGCCTTCTCTCCATACTTGTATCATTTTCATAATTATCAAAATCTGGAATTTGATTCCAAAACTGACATTAATTCGGCATGTCTCATACCAATAAATTATCTTTTTTAATGTGTATTGATTTTATGAACTATGGACACTATTGCTTCTTGAATTGCATATCGCTCTCATCACTTTGACTTCGTTAATTTTTTTCCCCTTTTCAATCTAAATAAGATGATATAGTGTACATCAAAATTCCTTATTTCTATTTTGTTAGAGTAGTTCTTGATGGAAATGATTCTTTGGTCTAATCTCAAGCGTCAAGCTTTCATTCTTTTTTAAATAATAATAATAATCCTTTGGTTTCAGTTTGGGTGTTCGTCTCTTGCTTGATCTTCATGGGAGATCCAAAATAGTTTATTTTTCAATTTCCTATGCTATCAGTACTCACACAGAACACAATCAAAATGAAATCATGGCGTTTGTAATTTGACTTAAATCTGATATGTGAACTGGTTCTCATAAAAAGAAAATCCTACTAGGTAGACAAAGAAGATGTTATAGTTCATGGTGGGTATTTATTTAATTTGGTTATTTTGTTATTGAAATGTGAACAGTGTTAGGAGAGGATTTGATCCTATAAGAATAAGGTGCATTATAGTTTTATTCTAAATACAATTAAAACTCATTAGATTAATTTAAGGGTTAAGATTGTTTTAGATGCGGGTAAATGCACCGATGTAATTAAATGTAGAGGCTTAGTATCTTTATCAGACGATTGTTCAATAAAAATCATTGAGAATATTCAAAACCTTTCAGGTATGAATATTAATATTAAAGCTTAATTATTGATTTTTCCCTTGAAACATAATTCTAGTTTCATTTTGCCCCTGAAACTTGGGCAATTATGCCTGGCAAAGTGAGACATGGAGTTCCAAGGGGTAAAGCGACACAATTTGAGTTTTAGGGGCAAAGTGAGACTACAACTGAGATTCAGGGGCAATTCAACAATTAAGCCTAATATTAGACAACACTATTTTGCAGCGAATATCTTTAGTGATGACGAGAAGCTTCTATAGATTCTGCAGCTAGCCTGAATGTAGAGCAAAGAATATACTACAACTCCTCAAGCAATCAACGCACCAAACAAAGGGCAAAGGTGCTTTTATTAAAGCAACAACCTTCCCCC